TGCTCTGAGAAATAAGTGACGAGATGGAAATTTTCACCAGAGAAATGAAATCTTGAAAAAATCAAATAGAAACTCTAGAACTAAGGATAAAATAACCAAAGTAAAGAGTGTGCGCCGGGCGTGGTGGCTCAAGCCTGTAATCCCAGCACTTTGGGAGGCCGAGATGGGCAGATCACAAGGTCAGGAGATCGAGACCATCCTGGCTAACCCGGTGAAACCCCGTCTCTACTAAAAAATACAAAAAACTAGCCGGGCGAGGTGGCGGGCACCTGTAGTCCCAGCTACTCGGGAGGCTGAGGCAGGAGAATGGTGTAAACCCGGGAGGCGGAGCTTGCAGTGAGCTGAGATCCGGCCACTGCACTCCAGCCTGGGCGACAGAGCGAGACGCCGTCTCAAAAAAAAAAAAAAAAAAAAAAGTGTGACAGATGGGTTAACAGACTATTAGTGGACAGAACTGAAGAGAAGATTAACGAGCACGAATTGAGGTCAGCAGCCAACAGACGACTGAAGCACACAGAAAAAAATGCACGGAAAATAGCATCAGAGACACACAGGATGCAGTCAACAGGCCTACCACATCTGTCACTCGAATCCCAGAGGGGAGACTGCAAATGGCGCAGAACAATATCTGAAGAGAAAATGAATGCAACTTTTCCAAAACCAATGAAAGACATACCAACTGCATGTGCAAGAAGTACTACACATTTCATGATAAAGAAATACAAACATACTCCTAAGCACATTGTAGTAAAGCCACTGAAAACTCAGTAACTAGGAGAAAATCAGTAACAGGAGGTGGGGCACAGTGGCTCACGCCTGTAATCCCAACACTTTGGGAGGCCAAGACAGGAGGACCCTGTCTCTAGAAAAATAAAAATAAAGTAAACAAATAACAGCCAGGAAAAAACAAGATGCCACCTTCAAAGAGGCAACAGTGAGGCTCTTGACTTCTCCACGTAAGCACTGAAGGCCGGAAGACAATGGAACAACATTCTCTAAGCACCAAGAGAAAATAATACCAACTTGGGGTGCTATTTCAAGCGAAAGAGAAAGGCAAAATAAAAACATTTTCGGACACCCTCCCCAGTGAATTGAGAGAATTCCTCACAGCAAACATGCACTAATAAACAAGACAGATCACAATGGAGGCCTTTGGAAACTGGTCCTGGATGGAAACATGGAAATGCAGGAGGGAAAGAACGAGAGAGCAGCAGAGAAGAAACACGCTGGTGCGTTTCGATGCACGCCGGCTGCAGAAAATGATAAGATGATTTATTGTGTGGTTTAACATATGTGCAGAATTGAAATGCCTGAGAATGACAGCACAAAAAGTGGGAGAGAGGCCAATGGATTTGAAGCATCAGAAGGGCAGAGCGCGGTGGCTCACACTCGTAATCCCAGCACTTTGGGAGGCCAAGGCGGGTGGATCGTTTGAGGTCAGGAATTCAAGACTAGCCTGACCAACATGGTGAAACCCCGTCTCTACTAAAAATGAAAAAAAATTAGCTGGGCATGGTGGCACATGCCTGTACTCCCAGCTCCTTGGGAGACTGAGGCAGGAGAATGGAGTGAACCCGGGAGGCGGAGGTTCCAGTGAGCCGAGTTCGCACCACTGCACTCCAGCCTGGGTGACAGAGCAAGACTCTGTCTCAATAAATAAATAAATAAATAAATAAATAAATAAAGCGTTAGAATGTCTTTACATTGTCCAGGAAGTGATGAAAGTACACATTTATATTAGGCCCTGATAAGTGAAGGATGAATTTTATAATTGTAAATGATTTTATAATTGTAATTGTATAATTGCCAGAAAGTAGTAAAAGAACAATTCATATTAGACCATAATTAGTGGAGGATTAATTTTATAATTGTTTGAGTAATTGCTACTAGTACGATAAAAGTATGACTAACAAGCAAATTGGAGGATGTAAAATAAAAAATTTTAATCCTAAAAAAGGAAAAAAAGGGAGAAAAAAGAACAAATAGCAGATGTAATATAGCAGATTTAATCCTAAGCACATTGATAAATATAATAAGTGTATACTAAAAATACTCCAATTAAAAGAAATATTGTCAGACTGAATATTTTAAAACAAGCCCCACAAGAAATTTCGTTAAAAGGATAGAAATTCTTTGAAGTGAGTTGGTTTAAATAAATAAATAAAAGGATGGAAAAGATAAATCATGATAACATTAACTAGAATAAAAGCTGGCATGACTATAATAATATGAAACAAAATGGACTTCAGATAAAAAAATAATTACAGAAGACTTCATAATGATAAAACGGCTCATCGACCAGTAAGTTAATAATTCTAAATTGTATGCACCTAATAGCATAGCTTTGAAATACATAAAGAAAAACTTAAAGGCTGGGTGCAGTGCCTCACATCTGTAATCCCAGCACTTTGGGAGGCCAAGGCAGCAGATCACTTGCGGTCAGGGGTTTGAGACCAGCCTGACCAACATGGCGAAACCCCCGTTTCTACTAAAAATACAAAAATTAGCCAGGCGTGGTGGCGCGTGCCTGTAATCCCAGCTACTTAGGAGGCTGAGGCAGGAGAATCGCTTGAACCCGGGAGGAGAAGGTTGCAGTGAGCCAAGATCACACCACTGCACTCGGCGAGACTCCATCTCCAAAAAAAAAAAAAAAGAAAAGAAAAGAAAGGAGGAAAGAAATTCCCTTATAATTGATAGCTTAAGGAAGAACTTAAAATTACGCCACAGGCCACTCCTGCTTCTGGCCATGAGCGACAGGAGTACAGGATGGGTTCGCCTTCTCACCTGGACCAGTGAGAAAACCAGACACGAGCTTTGCTGCAGGAGGGAAGGCAGGGCAGTCGGGCTCACCTCATTCCTTTCCTTTCTTGGCATCACGGTCCTGTGCTGCCTGCTGTCCAGTGTCTGAAAACTGCCATTTCACATATTTTGTCATTTTCTCACTGTTCAAGGTGAGAAGGCAAATCCATCCTGTACCCGTTACTCACGGCCAAAAGCAGAAATGGCCTGTGGCATGATTTTAAGTTCTTCTTCAAGCTAAATCATGACAACCTTCTCAGTAAAATTTTATTTTAAGCAGAATTTTATATTTGAGAGTAAAAACAGTTTACTATCCTTTTTGGTCATGATTTGACTGGCCATCATTTCTTTGAATTTTTCTGAAAATTTTATCTGAAAAAGAAACCATTAATTTTTACATGGAAAAGGTGTGGGCTTCATTCTGTCTAACGGTTTCTTATATTTGTCACTAGCAAGATTAATTGGACACAAACCACATGTGTGCTTCACTCACTCCTGCAAATGACCCAAGACCCAAAGCAGGCCCTGAGCCACCGAGCGCCCCGTGTCCCACAGGGATCTCTCTCCTCAGTTCCAGTTCCCTGACTGCATTCTCCAACTGTCACCTGAGCGGCTCACCCACTGACCCCACATCTGGACCACTTGGGCCAGGAGCTGGGCATGTCCTTGGCCCTCTCTGCCCCTCCACCGGGGACGCAGCCTCTTCAGGTTCCACCCTCTCCACGCGGCCCATCTGCCCTCCACCGCCTCCTCCCGCAGCCCCTGTGCCCTTACACCCAGTCAAAGCCCTCCTCTCTCTGACCAGACAAGAAACGAGAGAAGCTTGCACTCCTTAGGGGAGGTCCTGGAATGTTGAGCCCACCAAAACAAATCTCTGTCCACTGGCCCCCTGGGCCCAGCCCCACCCTAAGGCCAGCGCCCCCCTGAACCTTCTGCAGCCGTGAGCCCCGGGGTGTATGTTCAGGCTGACTTTCCAGTGGGCCCTGGGTCTCTGGGAAGGCCCATTGAAGGGCCCCGCTCAGAAGGCCCTCAGGGGTCTGCTGCCCAGACTAAGGTCTCAGTGACTGGGCCAGCAGTGACCACCTCAAGTGTGGCCCTGGGAGTGGCACTGAGATGGTTCAGATGGCAAGGCAAGGCGTGGAGGCCCCGAGTGGCCGCATGAGCCTGTGGAGCCCCGTCCTCAAGTTCTTGGTGGGCCGCTCGGCTCAACCATCCCCTTGCAAACTCAGATGCGTCCCCAAGGACAGGCGAGGGTGGCATCATAAAGGCAGTCCACCCAGGAACATCTGGCGATCCACAACCATCACAGGGAGTGGAAGGATGAGGGGCTCGGAGCAGCTGGACAGCTGGGCTGCGGAGGTAAAAAGCCCGCCCTGCTACTCCCGCCAGGGTCTCAAGGTCAGCCTCGCTGAGGACCTGAGCCGCTGCCTGGTAGCCTGGCAGCCCGACAGCACATCAGTGCCCGTGGGGCCCGCCCTGTGGCTGAAGGTGGACAGCGACCTCCGACACCTCCAGTGACCCGGGTGTGATGGGTGCCAGTGATGTGACGCAATGACGGGCAGTGGGTGTCCTCCAAAGCCGTAGCAGGGAGAAGGAACTGCGGCAGGAGGTGGCGCTCACCGCACGGCGGCTGTGTGCCTGCTCACTGCCTATTTTTATGCAGGATGAGCGAAGTTTTAAACAGCGCTCTCGGCCGGGCGCAGTGGCTGGGCTCACGCCTGTAATCCCAGCACTTTGGGAGGCCGAGGCAGGCGGATCACGGTCAGGAGATCGAGACCATCCTGGCTAACACGGTGAAACCCCGTCTCTACTAAAAAATACAAAAAATTAGCCGGGCGTGGTGGCGGGCGCCTGTAGTCCCAGCTACTCAGGAAGCTGAGGCAGGAGAACAGCGTGGACCCGGGAAGCGGAGCTTGTGGTGAGCCGAGATCGCGCCACTGCACTCTAGCCTGGGAGACAGTGAGACTCCATCTCAAAACAAAACAAAAAAACAGTGCTCTTGGATGCTGTCTCACTGAAGAGTTTTCATAAATTAGTTCTTCTGTTTCTTAGGAGTCAACATCTGGAAATGCTGCTTTCTAGCCCAGGCCGCCCCCTGGTGGCAGTATCTCTGAATTGCAGCCTCCCCTGGTCTGTCCTACATGCAGGGCCCCACCCATCCCAAACACCATGGATAGAGAAGCAAGGCCAAGGTGACAGGCTCCAGCGTGCTGCCATGTGATAGAAGAATGATTTATTAGAACAAATTCCATGACAAATCATATAAAATAACCATTTTCCGAAAGACAGCCACAAGACCACCTGAGAACGAATGTACAGTGAACCCTCCGAGAAGCCTGGCAAACAAGGACCATTCCCAGGCAAAGGCTGGAGGGGGAGGAAAAAAGGAGCTCAGCATGGGGAGGAGCAGGAACTTGTGAATTCAAAACATTGCACTGCCACTGCTGAGGGGTGGGAAGGAGCCGTGGAGGAAGAGTGACCACTTCATGTCCAGGGGCAGGCGGGGTGGGCAACTGAGGCATGCAGGGGTGGGCAGCAGCCCGGTGGGCCGGACTAGCACCTCCTCCATATAGACAGCAGGCTCTTGGGGCGGGGACCAGGGGGAGACACCTGCCCCCCCGCCCCCCCCACACGTAAACATCAGGTGGGCCGCAGGGCTCAGAGGCACAGAACCCGTACACCCAACCCCAGATCAGCTAAAAGTAAACAGGGGACACAAACCACCCACTTCCAGCCTCCAGCCCCCAGCGCCGCTCCCCCAGCAGCTGGCCCTGTCCAGGTCCGACTCTCGTACCAATGCCAGGTGGGGTATGGAGCTCACCTACGCCAGTCTGGTCCAGGTGGGACACCCCCCACGTCCATCCCCACCAACTACGGCCAATGGGCTCTTTGGCTTAGAGGCTCTGGCAACACGGGCTGCCCCAGCAGGGGCCACGGCAGAGAGGCCAAGCTCTGCTCACCTGCCATGTTCCCAGCTGAAAGAATCCTGAGAAAACAACAGTTCCTGGGCCCGTCCCTGCCCCCATGCCCACTTGAGGCCTGATGGCATGAAACCAAAGGGGAGGGCGTGTAGTGCAGGCCAAGCTGTGAGCTTCCGGAAACCCGGCTTCCAGTCACTTTGGTTGTGCACTCACCCCCGCCTGAAGGGCTGCCACGCACCCGGCTGTGCCCAGGCCCTTGGAAGCCCAAGTACAGAGGCCCATAGCCCCTCACAGGGACATGCCCCACAGTCCTCATGGTGCAGCATGGAGGCGCCTGGACTAGCCGAGTGCATGGGAGTGGGGGGGTATCTGTACCTGTGTGCATGGCTCAGCTCTCAACCAGCCCCTGGTCCACACCCAGGAGGGCTCCACGGGACAGCCCCAAGCTCAATGGGTTTGGCAACTGTGTTGGCACCAAAGGCTGGAAGCAGTGGGGCTCCTGCCTATAAAAGGCCTGGGGCCAGGTGGGAGCCACCAGGGCAAGTGCCCTGCCATCTTAGATAGTCCCAGGACAGGTGAGCCTGCCCCAGCTCCATGTCTGGCACCAAATGACCCCACAGTCGACCTCTCTTCCTCTGCATGGCCGCAGGCCAGTACAAAGGGGTATGGCAGGTTAGTGCCTGGTGGAGCCAGTCAGGCCTGGAGGGGGCACCTGCAATGGCACCAACGACTCTTTCCTTTAAAGCTAAAGACAAAAATAACAGTGATGAAGAGGAGGTGGGGTAATGCCCTTGAGGGCTTGACCTTGGCAGCAGCCTGGCCAGGAGCTGGGCCAGAGACCTGTAGGGGGTGGGGCGGGGGTGGGGGTGGCCACAGGGCTGGACAGGGTGAGTAGGGCGCTGGCTGGGAGCTGACGAGGGAGCAAGGGCGTGGGAGGGACCCGCCCACGGGGATATGGCACATGTGGGGGTCTTCAGGGAGAACCACCTGCGGCCAGGCAGGCGGGCGTGCGGCGGACGGGAGGCAGAGACGCACACGCACAGGGAAGCCAGCCTGGCCAGGTCCGGGGCCTAGATCAGGAACCTCTCGGCATCAGGGAGGAAGGTGGGGTCCGGGAGGCTGGGAGGCCCACAGCTGACCCGCTGTGGGAAACTCCTCAGCGGCAGGGCCGGCAGCAGGGCCTCAGCTGAGGCGGGCGAGGGTGGGCTCTGGGCAGCCACACGGCCCTTCCCCAGCCCCGGCTGTGCAGAGCTGGCCAAGCTCCTGTTTCCTGTGAGCAGGTCCAGGCTCCCACTGGGGTCCACGATGGCATTGATAACTGGAGGTGGGGAGGGAGGGTCAGGCTGCGGATCCAGTTCACCCGCTGCCACCCTGTGAGTCAGGGTTCCCCACAAGGCCCTGCCAGCCTCCCTCACTGTCCTGGGCTTGGGCCACACTCACCTTCCAGCTGCTTCTGCACCCGCCTCAGTTCCTTCAGGATGGAGCTGATTTCCTGGAAACATGGCAGGAAGGGAGGTGGAGTCAACTTCTGAGGCCACAGCCCCGCCCCGGGGCTCTGGGTACAGGAGCTGGGACAAGGTTTAGGGCCAGCCGGGCAAAGTGAGGCTGGCTGGGGGCGGGCCCAGGGGCACCGGGCCCCGGCGCTCACCTTGTTAGATGTCTTCAGGATGGGCACCTCGTTCTCAGCGTTGATCCTGGCTTCCAGGTCCTCCCAGGCTCTCCCTGTGTTCTGAAAGAGGATCCTGTCCGAGGCAGGGGAGGCAGAAATGGGGGGACAAGGACAGGGAGGACAGAGCTGAGGCACAATTCTCCAGACCTCCTCTGCTATGGTGAAGTTCATCCCACCCCACCTGGGCCTAAGGGGAAAACTGAGGCCTGATGCATGACCTGGGCTAACGGGCACCAAATTCCCATCTGTGTGTCTAACACTGGGCGGTGGGGAGGGCTGGGCCCAGGATGAAGGCTAGGAGAGAAGGGGAGGAAGGGCCACCCTGGAGGCGCTGGCTCCTCTGAGTTCAAGGTCTGCCTGCTGGGAGCCGCATACACGTGCACACAGGAGGGCTGGCTGCACGGGTGCACACGAGTGTACCCATAAAACCACTGCCCTTGAGGGATTCAGCCAGGCCTGAGTCTCAGCTCATGCAGCTCTGTTGGTGTCCGGGCATCCACCTCAGCCGGGAAGCTGACTCACTTCATCTTCTCGGCAAGGTGCTCCGTGTTCTCACGGATGGCCTGCGACAGCTGGGACACCGGGTTCAGCATCAGGTTATCAAAGATCACCTACAAGAGCCCGGCATCAGCATGGCCCCTGCCCTCGAGGAGCCCTGCCCTTGCTCCCCCCGACACCCAGCTCCGTGGCGGCAGTGGGCACCATGCCTCCTCTCGGTTCCGAGGCCGTGTCTTGTTGGCCAGGGCGTCCTCACAGCTGTCATTCATGTTCTGGTCAAAGTCCCGAGAGTTCAGTGAGCCAGGAGGCACCTTCTGGAAGTTGAGGCTGGCCTCAGGGATGCGCTGCACCAGCTGCAAAAGGGAGGGCCGGCACCGTGGGCCCCGGGCAGAGGCTCCTGCCAGGCTGTGGCCAGCTGCACCTCCCTGCTCCGGCCCGGCAGGTGGACACAGCACACCCACCTTCCATCTGTGCAGGGTCCCTCCTGTGTCCCTGCCCCGCCATGAAGGCAGCTGGGCTGGGGATGACGGCACAGTCAAGCCTGACTCAAGCGCCGCGAGCTCCCCAGACCTTGAGCTCTCCGGTGGCCGTTTGGGGCGCTGACCCAGGGGGACACGCTCCAGCTCACCAAGGGGGCATGCGCAGCAGGGCCTCAGCCGAGGCGTGCAAAGGGCTGTGGGGACCTGGACTGACCTTCCTCGAGGGTGGCTCTGGCACAGGGGCCTCAGAAAGCCTGGGGCTCACCTCCTCCCGGGCAGAGATGGTCGAGGCGGGGGTGCTGGGCATGGTGCTGAGGGAGGCGCTGTGGGCAGGCCCCGAGGAGCCCAGTGTGTCACCGTCCCCAGCCACATCATGGATCTCCCGGGCTAGGATGGCCACGTCCTTCACCAGCGTCTGGCTCAGCCTGCAGCCGGCAGGAAAGACGGCAGGTTCTGCACAGGGGAAGTCGGGGCAGCAGGGGCCAGACAGGCCTCAAAGTCCCTCCCAGCTCCCAGGCAGCTGCCGGCCAGAGGTGGGGCCTGGGGGAGGTGCTCCCCAGCCTGGCCCCAAACACTGGCCTAGCCACTGGTTACACAGGCACTGGCCATGGCCCTACAGGGAGGCCCAACTCCCCTCAGCCACAAGGAGGGATGGTGAGGGGCTGGGATGGAACCTGAAAAGAAGGGTGCACAGAGACCCCTGCTGGTTCTGGGGCAGGCCACACCTCCTCCCTCTCTGGTCCCCCAGGGCCAGCATCACAGCTGCGGGGCCCAAATGGGATGGATGGGACTCAGCCATAGAACGTGTGGGTGTCACAGGCGTCCAGCTCTGCAGGCAGAGAAACTGAGGCAAGGAAGGGAGTGGGCTGAGGTCACAGCAACTAGAGCCTGGCACTCCTCACACTGAGGGTAGGGGCTGGGCAGAGGGTGGGGCAGGCAGATCCAGAGAGGCAGGGGACCCCTTGCAGGTCAGTGAGGCCAGTGGCAGCTCAGCCTAGCCCCCTGCTCAAGCCTTGCCCGCTCAGTCCCCCTAGGATGTGCCGAGGGGGCACAGGCCTCCACCCTGCCGAGGTAACAGACATTTCCCAGCGAGGACAGGGGCCTGCGGGGGCCTGAGCAGCTCCCTGCCCTCTGCTGGAGCACACAGCCTTGTTGCCTCTCCTGCCGGCCCCTTAAGCACCTGGGCCACCAGCAAGTCCTGCCCCACTTAGGCCTTCAGCCCAGGCCTTGGGGACCCGGGGTCCCTGTCACTGTCAACCACCCATCCTCATGGGGACAGGCCCTACCCCAAGCCTCCTTGGCCCCCACACTGGCAGTCACCCAAGGAACAGACCACCCTGAGGACCCTCCCCCTCCCCTTGCCAGATGCTGGCACGACCAGAGAAACAGCCCCAGCGCCCTCTGCCCAGATGGCCTTGCGCAGTCCACTGGCTGCCCTGGCCTCACTCAGGACTGGGTCCACCCTTCCACATCAAAACAAAACATGGAAGCCATCCCTACACCTCCGGGTGACACCAACTGGCACGTGCCCCTGGCCCTCGGGCCCCTGCCCAGCACTCTCTGGCCTCCTGCCCCTGGCACATCGCATGCTCCAGCTCACCCACTGTGGAAGGCAGAGAACTCCAGAAACTCACATGGGCCCCCCATGTCCCCTTCTGCTCTCAGGCCTGGAAACCCCCTTCTCACCCAGGTGCAGTGTCTCTGTCCAGAGCCCCAACCCTATGCCCACTTCCTCAGCTGTTGGCAGCCTTCTTCCCTACACTCCTATCAACACCTCAAGCATCCCAAGAGCCCTGTCCCCAGTCCCCATCCTTCCAAGCCCCCCAGGTCCTCCCCACCAACTTCATGCTGCTCACAGCCTCAAGTGCCTGTGCCTCCAACCCAGTGTGGGCCACTCTCTAAGGGCTGCCTGCTCCTGGCCACCTCCTTCCAGGTGCCTCATGGGCTTCAAGCTCAGCATCCTCCACAACAAACACTTGCCATCCCCCTGGTCCTGGGACCTCCCCTGCCTGCCCCACAGCCTTTCAGGGCCTGCCTTTGCAGTACTGACCACTGCTTGGCAAAGACCACTCTCACTCCCACCCAACTCCCTACCCCATCCTCCCCAGTGCCTGGCCTGGAGAGGGCCCTGTTACTGAATGACCACATGAAGAAGTTCATTTCTTTTTTTTTTTTTTTTTTTTTTTTGAGACGGAGTCTCACGCTGTTGCCCAGGCTGGAGTGCAGTGGCGCGATCTTGGCTCACTGCAAGCTCCGCCTCCTGGGTTTACGCCATTCTCCTGCCTCAGCCTCCTGATAGCTGGACTACAGCGCCTGCCACCGCACCCGGCTAATTTTTTGTATTTTAGTAGAGACGGTTTCACTGTGGTCTTGATCTCCTGACCTGTGATCCGCCCGCCTCGCCTCCCAAAGTGCTGGATACAGGCTTGAGCCACCGCGCCCGGCCTGAAGAAGTTCATTTCTAATAAAAACATATCCATCCGGGAGCCCTACCCACCCACTCATCCATTCATCCATCTACCCACTCATCCATCCATCCATCCACCCACTCACTCATCCATCCACCCATCCATCTACTCATCCATCCATCCATCCACTCACTCATCCATCCATCCACCCACTCACTCATCCATCCATCCATCCATCCATCCACCTACCCTCACTCCCACTCCACTCCATCCATCTATCCATCCACCCCCACCCCACCCCACTCCATCCCCCACCACCCCCCCCCCCCCCCCCCCCCCCCCCCCCCCCCCCCCCCCCCCACCTCCATCCCATCCATCCATCCATCCCACCCCACCCCACTCACTCATCCATACATCCGTCAATCCACCCACTTATCCAACTATCCATCTATCCATCCACCCACCCACTCACTCATCTATTCATCCATCCACCCACTCACTCATCCGTCCACCCATCCATCCATCCCCACTCCATCCATCCATCCACTCACTCATCCTCTATCCCCACTCACTCCATCCACCCACTCACTCATCCGTCCACCATCCATCCACCCACTCATCCATCCATCCATCCCCCCACTCACTTATCCATCCACCCACCCATCCATCCACCCACCCACCTACCCACCCACTCACTCATCTATCCATCCATCCACTCACTCACTCATCCATCCACCCATCCACTCACTCATCCATCTATCCACCCACTCACTCATCCGTCTACCTATCCATCCACTCACTCATCCATCCATCCACCCACTCATCCATCCATCCATCCACTCACTCACTCATCCATCCATCCATCCACCTACCCACTCATCCATCCGTCAATCCACCCACTCATCCATCCATCCATCTATCCATCCACTCACCCACCTATCCACCCACTCACTCATCTATCCATCCATCCACCCACTCACTCATCCATCCATCCATCCACTCATCCATCCATCCACCCACTCACTCATCCATACATCTGTCAATCCACCCACTCATCCATCCTTCCATCTATCCATCCACTCACCCACCTACCCACCCACTCACTCATCTATCCATCCATCCACCCACTCACTCATCCACCACCCATCCATCCATCCACTCACTCATCCATCCATCCACCCACTCACTCATCCATCCATCCACCCACTCACTCATCCATCCATCCATCCATCCATCCACCCACCCACTCACTCATCCATCCATCCATCCACCCACCTACTCATTCATCCATCCATCCACCCACTCACTCATCCATCCATCCACCCACTCACTCATCCATCCACCCACTCACTCATTCATCCATCCATCCATCCACCTACCCACCCATCCAACCACCCATCCACCCACCCAGCAACCTATCCATCTACCCACCCACCCGCCCATCCATCCATCCACCCACCCACCCTATCCATTCATCCTTCCATCTATCCACCCACCAACCTCTCCCATCCATCCACCTATTTATCAACCCACCCATCGACCCATCCATCCATCCACCCCCCAACCTCTCCTATCCATTCACCTATTCATCTACCCACCCATCTATCTACCTACCCATCCACCCACCCACCCACCAACCTCTCCCGTCCATCCACCTATTTATCAACCCACCCATCGACCCATCCATCCATCCACCCCCCAACCTCTCCTATCCATCCACCTATTCATCTACCCACCCATCTATCTACCTACCCATCCACCCACCCACCCACCAACCTCTCCCATCCATCCATCTATCCACCTATTCATCTACCCACCCATCTACCTATCCATTAACCCACCCAGCCACCCACCAACCTTTCCATCCATCCTTCCATCCATCCATCCAACCTCCACCCATCCATTCATTCATCCACTTATTCATCCATGCAGCTATCAACCTGTCCATCCATCCATCCTCCATCCAACCACTTACCCACCCAGCCATCTACCCACACAGAAATCTATCCATCTACCCACCCACCCACCATCCTATCCATCCATCCACCCACCTACCCACCCAGCCATCCAGCAACCTATCCATCTACCCACCCACCCGCCCATTCATCCATCCACCTGCCCATCCATCCACCTACCCACTCACCCACCCACCCGCCTATCCATCCATCCATCCATCCATCCATCCAGCTAGCCAGCCATCTGCCGTACCATCTATCCACTCAAGAATGGAGCTCCCAGCCTGGTCCCTGCCCTCAGGGTGCTCTCACTCGAGAAAAGGCACCAGCACTCAGTGGATTGACCCAGGGGATATACTCTGAATGGGTTGCTCACCTGGCGATCTCCGCAATCTCTGCCGTCTGCACGATGAAACCATAAGGGTCAGGTTCCTCCTCATCATCGTCCGTGTCCCGGGGACCAGGGACCCGGGAACGAGCCCGACTGGAGCTTCCAGCCCTCGGGGTCTGAGTGGCTGTTGAGGTGTGGGAGCGTGTGTGTTTGGGGGAGCCGTGGCGGGAGCCGTACTCCTCCTCAGAGGTGGACGTGTAATCCGAGCCCTGCTGCCGGCGCCGCGTGTCTTGGTGAGTGAATTGGTTTCAGAAGCAAGAACAGAACAAAGCAGCACTCAGCACCCTGTGGCAGTCCCAGGGTCCCTGTGGGCGAGGGCTTAGTGCTGCAGGGCTGGGGAGTGTCAAGGCTGGTGCCCCAACCCAGTAGCCCTTCATTGAAACATCAACAGCTGCTGAGCTCCAGGGGCCACAAGGCCCCCACCAGCCCAGGGGCACATGCGGGGAAGGCAGCCTGGTGCTCCCAGGCCAGTGGCTGCGACCCGGGAGCAGTCTGCACCTGATTAGGTGGGAAACCCCCTTACAGGTGGTGGGAAAGCAGTGCCTGGCAGATGCCAAAACAGAGTAAACCTCCCTACCAGGACTTGCTGCGGCCCAGGCTGGACCAGACAGACAGGCAAGGACCAGTCAGAGCCCGAGCAAGGCCACTGCAGCCCCTCCCTGCTGCCTGCTTCAGTTTGTCAGGCCCAGTGCTTCAGGTTCCGCCCCTGCTGGGCGGAGTCCTAGCCTCCTCACCAGCCCTGCTCTGAGAGCCCGGCAGCAGCTGCGCACCTGCACCATAGGTGGGGATGACGGCCAGCCGCATGCTTGGATCAAACATTACCAGTGCACCACGTGGGGTAGGGATGGCAGGCTCCACAAAGCAGCGGTGACCCTCGGCCCCAGCCCACCCCTTCCTCCAGCAAACCCTGCCTCAGCCTCCAGCCACGCGCAGGGCCTGCCCAGTGCAGCCAGCAGTTGGGGCGGGGCCATGGGAGGACCCTGGGAGTTGGGGAAGAGGCTCCACTGGGATCATGGGTGGGTAGGTGGGAGCATAGGGCAGAAGGCAGTAGCAGCAACACCTTGGCCTCAAACCAATCCACTCGCAGGACAGCTCAGCTCCCTCGGCGGGCGGGGTGGGCCCCGCTCTGCAGACGCGGATGTCTGGCCACCCCAGGTAGGAGGCCAGCTCTGGTGGCCACAGAGGACCATCCCTGCTTGCTGTGCCCATGGACATCTGGGGGGCAGGACTCTGCTCACAGCCCTCCCTCCCTCCCTGGCCATGGGGCCTGCGGACTCAGAAAGGTGTTAGAGCAGCTACCAGCAGGGGGCACAGGTGTACCTGGCACCCTTCACTGAGCCACAGTACTGCGGCAGAGATCCACGGGAGTGCCCTCCCCAGGCCTAGGGCCCCAGGTCCATGGGCAGATGGTGTGGGGACCGTAAGGCACCAGGGGCCTGAGCCAGGAGTACAGAAGAGTGGTGAAGACCCACCCTGGGGGATGGAAGGCCCCCACCACGCCAGAGATGGTTAGGGTGTTCAACCCACATCAGGGCACTACGGGCCCTGCCCTCAGCCATGCACATGTGTGTGTGTACGTGAGTCCAGCAACACATCTACCCCAGCTTTGGGAACAAAGGCTCCTCTCATGCCAGGACCAGGGGCCCACAGCCAACACTCAGCTGGCATCCAGGATGCTGCAGACCTACTGGCAGCTCTGCCTTGGCCCTGGCCTCCCACCTGCCCTGGCACTCACTGGAGGTGTATCGAGCGCTGCCCGAGCGGGCTCTGCTGAAGGGCTGGCGGGGACCCATGCTGGTGGCTGTGGTGGCAGCCTTCCTGGCAACAGCCCGTGCTTCGGCCATGGTGGGCTTGCGGCTGGCACAGCACAACTCCACACTGCGGCCAGAGAAGCTGGTGCGGGCAGGGGCTGCCTCGGGGTCACTAGTCCCTGTGAAGGAGCCGGCCCGCTTCCGGGGCATGGCCAGGATGTCCAAGCGCGACAGCTTCTTGGCCTGCTCAGCAGCTGGCCGGCCCACAGGCTCAGGGTTGCCCAGGGATCCCCGCTCACCATCTGCGGCCTCAGTGTCTGAAGCGTCCCCCAGCCGGGCCCGCCTCAGCCGGGAGGCCCGTGTGGGGCGAGGGGTGGACAGGCTGTTGGAGCGGGTCAAGGCCTGCGGCCCCTTCTGGGAGCTGGCTGAGCTGCGGCTCTGCTCCTCCCGGGAAGCGGGGGATGGCGGTGGGGCTGCTGGTTTCCGGCGAGACCCGAGCCGTCCTGCCCCGGTGGCCTCAGGGGTTTCATGGTTGGAGGCCATCACCTCTGAGCTGGGTGGGTGGGCGAGGACAGGGCTACGCTCCTCACTGGGCCAGTCCAGGGACCCCCGGGGCCTGTGGCCACGCCTTATGGCTGAGCGCCGTACTGGCTCTCCACGGCCCATGTCCATCGGGCCAAGTGGGTGACGCTGTCTCTCTGAGGGCTGCTCACGGGCACTGCTCAGGGCGGTGCCTCCTGGGTCCTGTGCAGCTGGCGGGGATGGCGACATCTCCTTCTGTGCCCGCAGGGGCTGCGGGGTTGTGGGGCTGGGTCCGCTCTTGCCACTGCGCAGGCTGACTGTGCTGGCAGTGTCCACGTCCGAGTCCCCAGACATGGCGTCCTCCGGCGGCCTTGGAGTACTGCCCCCCTCACACTCGGCGTCCACAGAATTGGAGAGGAGTCGGGCCTCCAGGGCCGCCAGGGCCGTCTCTGTCTCCTTCAAGATCAGGTGGGTGTCCTGGGAGTGGAAGTCCATGCGTGCGGCCCTGGTAGCAGCCAGGTCCTGTAGAAGTGGGTGGCTGGAGATGTTGGGGGGCTTGCCGGGCGCTGGGGGACCACTGGCTGGCTCCTTAGTGAAGCTCTCTTGCCGGAGGAAGGGTGGGGCAGGGCCATCGGGTTCTGGGGACCGTCCAGGCCGTAGCTGGATGACCATTCTCCCATTGGCACTGACATAGATGCCATCCCGTGCTGGGGGGCTGGGCTGGGCTGCCTGCCCTAAGCCCTCCCCATCCCCTGGAGCCGTAAGTGGTTTCCTAGGTAACACAGCATCCCCATCCTGGTCCCCAATGAAGAAAGAGGTGGGAGTTGACTCCCCGGGGGCCCTTGGTGAGCACCGACCCCTGCTCCATGTGGGCCCCTCCTGGGGGCTCCTGCGTCTGCTGTCCCGTGGCTCCACCCCTGGCTCAGGGCCTCGGCCCCCGTCCGAACCACTGGCATCGCTGAGGCTGTCAGGGTCCAACTCCTCCTGGCCAAAGAGGCGGCCGGGCTGCTCACTGCCCAGCTCCGGTGGCCCAGGCCCACTCCTCCTGCTGCTCTCCGGGCCCGCAGGGCTGTCGGCCCTCTCACTGGGCAGCTGAGGGAGCCGTCGCCGCGTGCGCACAGGCAGGGACCCCTCCGGCTCCCCGCCTCTACGTTCCAGGCCATCCTCTGTGGAGCACAAAGGCAGCTGCTTACAGGGCTGCTGGTCTGCAGGCCCTCCATGCACAGCCTCCATGCACAGGAAGAGGCAGCCTGTGTCCGTGGTCAGTGGCCTGAGCCCCCCGGCCTGGCCCCTGACTCCCCTGCAGCACTGGAGCCACTTACCTGTGAGGCCCGGGTCTGAGTAGCTGTCAGCCAGGCTGGCCCAGCGGGACACCCACTTCTGACCCCCAGGGGAGCCCGGCACCGGGAGGCCCTGTGGAGAGGAGGGTGGGAGTGTTTCCACGTGCAAGCCCAACGGTGAGGAGCAGGGGGTGCCAGGGAACAGGAGGGGCATCCAGAGCAGCCACCACCAGCCCCACGCATGCACGCCACCCTGGGCCTGCCGCTTGAGCGAGCACATGTCCCCGCAAAGGCAGCCAGGGGTCCCAGTTGCCTCGCCTGGACTTGCTCCAATGTGACCCCTGCCGGCCCAGCCCAGGCAGCCCCACAGAACTCAGTTCCAGGTTGGCAGAGCAGCCGTGGCCCTGTCCTGACCTCGGAGCCCGTTTTGCCCAGGACCTCAAATCAACACTGGATCTGACACCTGGTCCCGATCCCTCCTCGTGGAAGCCCCCGTTCACCCTCCAGGTGAGCGTGCCCCCAGAGGAAAGTCCAGTCTCGCCCCATGAGGGGTCTACTGTCCCCAGGCCCGGCTTGGACGCTGCCCTCTCCCTGCCCAGCCCCTCCTTGGGGTGGCCATCTGTGCTTGTACCTGGTGCTCCGCCTGGGGAGCCGCACCCAGTGGCCGGGAGGCAAACTCCTGCAGGAGCGCCATCCGCTGGGCCACACCCCCATCACCAGACTCATCTCTGTCCCCTCTGATGACTGGGCGAAAGGTGGCCGAAGATGCCCTGGAGAGTTCAGGGGACTCCAACACCCCAAAGACCTGCCAAGAGGAAATGGTCCCAGGCACTGAGGGCCAGAGAAGCCCACTTCCCAACCCTCCACTGACACCGGCCACCCCCAAGCCATGGGGAGAGCAGGGACCTGGTTGGCCAGAGTGGCTGGTGGCCAGGACACACAGCCTGGCTATCAGCGGGACATGCGGATGGGATATAGACCCAGCCCTGGGAAGGTGAGGGCAGGGCTGTGGGCAGCACCCCAGGCTCCCTCCTGCCCAGCTGGGCCAGAGGCAGGAGCCAGGGCTGGGTTGGAGCAGGACAACGTCCACCCACCTCCACCCTGGTCCCCATGAGGGCTCTCATTCGCCGCCGGGCCGCACCTGGTCGATCATCTTTCGGGCCTCCTCCACTTCCGTGTCCTGTGCCTCGGTCTCGATGGTGTATGTCCCTGCGTCACTGAGGCTGTCGTCCTCCTCCTGTTTCCGTGCCTTGGTCAGTTGGGGGTCGGTAGGGGCGGGCGGTGGGGTCGGGGGGCCCACAGGGCTGGTCCCACGGGGTGTCAGGGGAGCGGGCAGCACGGGAGGAACCTTCTCGGGGCTGGGCCTGGCGGCCGGGGAGCTCTCCCGCAGACACTGGGCCATGAAGTCCTGGGCCAGGCGGGAACGGCGCCCCACGCTTCCGAAGGGGCGGGCAGGGGTTCGGGAGGCAGGCGAGGGGCTGCCCAGCCGTTCCTCTGTCTTCTCCCGCTTCAGCGAGCCGGCCCTCTGTGGCCCCGAGCTGCGGCCCCCCGCCTGGACTGGGGCTGGGACACTGGGGCGGTCCCTATCGGCCGGTGTCGGGCCACGGCGCTTGTCGGCCTTGGGGTCCCCAGACGGGGTGTGCGTGAAGGATTGGGACCGCTTCTTTCGGGGCGTGTCCTCGTCGAAGAACTCGATGACAAAGGCCTGCTGGTTATGTAGTAGCTCCTGGGGGTCCCGCTTGATCTGCCTCTGCAGCCGCACCTGCTCCCCACTGGCCTCCAAGGGCACCCCGGTGGCTGAGGCCGCCTTGGCCAGGGGGTCCTCTGAGTCACTCTGTGTGCCATCCTCGTGCTTGTGGCCTGGGGGGGACAGGGGACCCCACCTTGTCAGCCCAAGAGAAAGGAAACAGCTGTGGATTTCAGACAGCCTCATCACCCGACGCCTGAGCTGAGTTGACAGAGCACCCTAGCCCTCAGGGCGCCCCCACACAGGGCAGAGAAATACAACGGGAAGACACAGGACCGGACCCCTGATCAGGCAGGTGGCTCTTGGGCAATTAATTGAAAAACGGGAAGTCAACCCAGCTGAATGGGCCCCTCTGCATGGCAACGGTGCAGACCCAGCCAACGCCTGGTCCCCTGCCTGTCCCGGGACTGGCACGGCCGCCAGCTGGGCACTCACCCTTCAGAGTGCGGGTGTGGACAGGCAGGTCGCTCTTGGTGCTGTGGCGGTCGTCCCCAGGGCCAACCCGGTGCAGCAGGCTCGGGTCATTCTGCACCAGCCAGTCGGCCACCTTGGTCTCAGCTGACACCATCTCGCCAGGTGTGGCCTCCTTGCCCGGGGGCCGCCGCTGGCGCAGGGAAAACTTGGTGATATGGTCCTTGATCTTCATCTTGCCGGGGCTGCAGTCATCAAACTCGATGGTGAAGGACGCGTGGCTCTGCACCACAGGGGCCGCTCCGACCCCACCTGCCTCTGCATCCTTCGTGGGCATCTCGTGCGCCGACACGTCGGGGGGCTGCGACGGCTGTGGGGTCTCCTTCGTGGGAATCTCGAAGTAGCTGGGCTCCCGCCGGAACGAGCAGCCCTGAGGCTCAGCGGGGGCACGGAAGCTGTGGAGCTCCCCGTCCTGCTGCACCGGCCCCTTGGGACGCTCTGGTGTGGGAAGATGTCTTCAGACCCGGCCTCGGGGCAGCCACCTGCTACCACCCTCCTCAGCCAGGACCATCAACTCCACCCAAGAGGGGGAGAGAGGCCCCATGTCCCCTGGAGTGGGCTCCTCAAACCCAGGCCATCCCCTTCACACACCACCCTCTGGGAGCCCTCAGGGTCTCACCAGCCTGGCCCCAGGACCAACCTGGGTAGGGCTCTCCCTGGCGCTGGGCGTCAGGCAGCGTGCTACCATCGTCCTCACCCCACCAGGAGGGCTGCCCGTACAGGGGCGTGCGGTAAGAGGCTGCCTCTGTGGAGGGAGCAAGAGTTCAGACCCTGTGTTGCTGGGGCCCCTAGTGTGAAAAGCAGAGAACTGGCACCCCAGGATAGGCTGGACTCTGGGGCAGGCCCCGGCATCGCCTCCCAGCTTGGCCTTGTGGCAGCCCAGGGCCCTACCTCTGTGGGGAATGTTGACTACCTAGAGTTCAGAGGTGGCTCACTGGCCCCTCCCTGCCTGGCCCCACCCTCCCCCACAAGTGCTTAAAGGCTCCCTGCCTGCCTGGCCCCTCCTCCCTGCCTGGCCCCTCCTCCCTGCCTGGCCCCTCCTTCCTCCCCTCCGTGTGCTCAAAGGCTCATCCCCTGGGGCATGGTGGGCGCCCCCTCCAACACCATCCTGCAACCATGCCCTAGCCTTCGACCCCAGAGCCCATTGAACAGAGAGGACAGGAGGCCAGGGGGAGCCCACACCTGGGTCCAGCCACCTCCAAGGCTTGGTAAATAGTTCAGGCCACAAATGGGTGGCCCTGGGAGTGGGCAGCCACTGCAGTCTACATGGTCCCTGTGGCGTTTTAGTTTGTTTGTCTTAACAACCAGAGTGAAATTGTGTATTTCAGATGGAATCTGACTTCTGACTCCCTCTGCGAAGCTGGCAGCCCAGCCCTTCCCGATGGCAGCAGTGAACAGAAGCAGCGTCCAGTGCCCTCAGGTCAGGGCGCTGGCCCTCATGCCCACAGTCTCCTTCCTGGGCCCTCCACTCAAGCTCTTTCTATACTTGCTGGAGCCCAGGGGGCCTCTGCATCATGGCCACCAGCTGCTTACACTGCTGGGTGGACAGAGAGTTGGAGGCCGGTCACCTGTCAGGAACCATGGGCACACTGCGCTGGGGATGCAGGGCCCCTGAGAGGTGTCACACATGCCTTATCCCTCCCTGGGAACTCACCCTTGACCCAGGGTCACGCCCAGGGGCTGCTGAGGCAGGGGCATCTGCTACCAGGCAGTCTCCCCTCTGCTGCCGGCCCTGAACCCCTCCTTGGTCCCCAAAATGTGCTGCCCTCGCTCTAACGGAGCCAAGGAGCCAGGCTGCCCAGCTGGCTGCACCTGTCACAACCTCCCGGACGGCTCCGCACCGCCGTCACCAGCTGCGTGTGTTTCACAGCCTGGACACCGACAGGTGCCCCAGGGAGCTCAGATGGCTTTCTGGAAAGCTTCCCAGTCCCCAGCGGTCTTCCATTCTGGGCAGGCCTGCGTCCCAACCAGATGCCGGCAGCTGCGGCTGTACAACACAGATGTGTGGGCTGACGGCGGAACACGGCAGACGTGGGGCCAAAGCTGGGGGTGGCAGGGTGACCCTTCCTGGACCAAGGTGGGAGCAGGAGAAAGGGCGCCCAGATACACCCCTGTCTAACCAGAACTCAAGTCATACACTGGGGCCTCAGGCTTGGATCCCCCACCCCGACCCCTCCACACATGACCAGGCACTTTCTCACTCTCAGCTCCTTCCCCTCCCCTTGTGCCCACTGGACCGATGCAGACCCGGACCCTCGTGCAGCTGCCTTCCTCCCAGACTTCTGCCCACCCGCTGCACCGACTGCCGAAGGCACATATCAGGTCTCGTCAGAAACCACCAACCCCTGAGCCCTGCTGGCTCGGTCCGCAGAATCGAGTCCAAATGCCTGATATTAGGGAGCATAGCCGCACCCCCCCATCCCCCGCCTGTCACCACGAGGGACACAGGGTGCCCAGCGGGTGGTCCACCAACCCCACAAGAACTGTGGGCCCAAGGGGTGCAGGCATGCACAGGTAGGTGTGCACAGAGGTGAGCAGTGTGGGCGTGCATGGGTAGCTGTGTGTGTGGGGTGAGAGGTGAGGGATGTGGGTGTGCACAGGTAGATGTGTATACAGGGGTGGGGGTGTGAGTGCACAGGGGTGAGCAGTGTGGGCGTGCATGGGTAGCTGTGTACAGCAGTGAGGGGTATGGGCATGTATGGGTAGGTGTGCACAGGGGTGAGTGGTGTGGGTGTGCATGAGTAGGGTGTGTATAACAAAGAGGGGTGCAGGCGTGCATGGGTAGGTGTGTACGGGGTGAGCGGTGCAGGCATGCACAGATAGGTGTGTGCAACGCGTAAGGAATGTGGGTATGCAAGGGTAGGTGTGCACAATGGGTGAGGGGTGTGTGTGTACAGGGGTATGTGTGTGCAATGGATGAGGGTATGGGTGTGCACGGCATATGCATGCACAGGGGTGAGGAGGGCAGGGAGGCAGGTGCAGGGCAGAGGGCCTGGCAGTAGCCCTGTGTGCGCGTAAAATTGCTCCACACTGCCTGGGCCTACCTGTTCCTGGTCTCCGGTCCCCCTTCTCTGGCCTGGGGTTCGAGGCCTCGCAGTACGGTGTGTGTTCCGGCAGCGCCTCGCTCCTCTTGGGTGCCAAGCCCTTCACACTCACCTGCAGCTGGCTGGTGTACTTCTCGTGCTGTGGGCAGGCCAGGCGGGGTGAGGTACTGGGCCCAGCCTCAGGAGGACCCCACTGGGGTGGACCCAGCCTCTCCTCTCCATCCACAGGGCCCAGCTATGACTTTGCATGTCACAAGCTCTCCCTAACGCTCCCTAAAAGAGCAGACAGAGCCTCAGCCTGCCCAGGTCACACAGCTCGGGTCCAGCTCAAGCCTGGGGAGGGGCAGCTTCCAGGGGAAGCAGGGGCTTGCTTGGGTGTGGCAGGGCAGAGCAGGCCGCAGTCATCAGAGTGGGGGCCGTCGGGTGGGCAGCAGGGCCGCTTGTGCCATCAGACAGAACCTGGCTCCCTTAGGCCCTGCCCCTTGCAGGCTGGGGGACCCCATACTGCTCAGAGATCATCCAAGGAGTGGGCTAAGCGCCCTGGCCCCACAGGGCTCCTGGGGTGCTCTGAGCCCAGCCCTGAATCTGTGCTCCATAACTCCCACACGAACAAGTGAGGGCGAGGAGACGCCCCTTCCACCTAGGACCCTCGTGCCCCCACAGGGGCCCTGGCCGTGTGTGTCCCCAGCACACGGGGGAAAGGGCACTCAAGGATGCCCACCCTTGAAGGCTGCCACCATCAGCCTCCAGCACCCTTCCTTCCTGCCTCTGGCCACCCCCCGATGGCGGTCTCATCAATATGCTGTGGGCAGCTTTTACCTCCCAAGGGGCTCCGACAGGGCGCCCGGCCAGGGTGGGCTGCGCGGGAGGAGATTGGAGAGACTGACAGGAACTCGGGGGGCCTTGGTCATGCAGCATAAAACCCTTACAAACCCTCAGCCTAAGACCTTCAGATTTCAGCCTGGGAGACCTCAGATCCCCTCACCCTGAGAAGCAATAAATCCTCTCAGCCTGAAGTGACCCCAAATCCTGCCACCTTGAAGGACTCAAATCCGCTAAACTGGAGGGCACTTAATCCCCTGGGCATGAGACCCCAAAGCACCTCCTCAGCTTCAGAGACCTCAAATCCCTTCACCCAGAGGAACGCCAAATCCTCTAAGACGTAGATCCTCAAATCCCCCGAGCCTAAGGAGCCCTAAATATCTCACTCACAGAGAGACCAAATTTCCCCAGCCTCAGAGACCCTAAACACTATATAGAGACTCTTAATCCCTTCAGCTTCAAAGACTCCAAATAACTGTAACGTCAGAGAATCTAAAGCCCCTTATGAGACCCCAAAGCTCCTTAATCTGAGAGACACTCCTGAAAAGATGCTGGGGGGCTCAGGGGCTCTATACCCTCCTGGCCCTCTGAACGGGGCCCTCTGCTCCCAGGGAGGCTCCTGGCCCCCGCCTCAGCCCCCCTGTACTCTCCTGCAGGGTGATCCCAGCAGCTTCCTGGGCTCTGGCCACCCAGCTCACCCGATGAGCCGTTTGTTCTGTAAGCCAGAGCTAAACCCGCCGGCACCCAACGCCGCAGCTCACAAAGCCCAGGAGCTGCAGCAGGCTGACCATGCAGCCCGAATCCTCCCAGGCCCCTCCCAGAGCCCTGATCCTGCTGCATCCACAACAGTGGCGCCTGCATCCCAGTGCCCCCGCCATCTGTCACTGCAGCAGGCTGGGGGTAATGACTACCTTCCCACCTGCCAGACTGGGCCATCTGGCAGGGCAGGACAGGCTGGCCTGACTCATGGCACCCACAGCCTGAACGGGGTGCCCCAAAGGCCTGGGGAGTGTTTGCTGGGGAGATGGCAGTGGGAGCAGGGTAGGGAGGATGGGGGGCTGAGCCCTCATGGCTGAGTCCCCCAGGCTCGGCCAGCACTAACCTTGAGCGCCTCCTCCGGGACTCGGTGCTGCACACGCTCCAGCACATACATGTTGGAATGTGGACACATGTTAAGGCGAACACGCAGCAGAAGAGCCAGGAGCCCAGCGCGGAAGTCCACGCCCAGCAACAGGTGTGCCAGCTCAAGGGCCCATCGAGGCAGGCAGAGGAGGGGCCTCTTTCTTCCCGGGGAGGCACAGCCATGCCCACCCATTTGCTCAGACAGTCCCAAGGTCGGGCCAGGACTCGGGGCCCCAGGGAGTGGTCACCAGTTCCCCAGACCCCACATGACCTCAGGCTGGGTGGGTGAGCAAGCAGCAGGTGCTGGTGGCCAGGGTGGCCACGGGGGGCCGGGCTGCAGGGACTAGTATTCCCTGGGGTGCCCCGTCAGCAGGGGGAGCCCAGCCCTAGGGTCATCCTCCATGCTCTGTAACCCAGCGGCCCGAGCGGTGACAGCCCTGCTTCTGGAGTAACAGAGCGACCATGGCCCTGGGGACTGAGGAGAAGCCCAGGAGGAGGGGCACTCAGGGGCAGGATATCGTAGCCGAAGCGGATGACGTCATTGAGCTTCAGCGTGACGTACTTCTGGTCCGGGATGCGCATGTCATTCACAAATGTCTGCAGGAAAACAGGTGGCAGGGTGGTGAGGCGGAGTAGGTGGGTGGCTGTGGGCAGGGCCGTGGGGGCACCAACGCTCCGGCACCCACGGTGAGTGATGGCCTGTGCAGAAGCCCATCCTGAAACCCCCTCCCCAACTCTAGGATGGCTGCTGGAGACACCTCAGGCCACTAACGGCCCCGTCGGCAGCCCTGAGGGCCAGGCCCCAGGATTCCTGCCTGAGAGTGCAGCCTGGAAGCTAGAAGCCTGGATCTCCCTCAGGGGGTTCGGGCTCACCTCCTCCTGAACCCTGTCCTGTGCACAGGGCAGCAGCCCCACCCCAGCCCACCCAACACATGGGCTCCACGGTGCCAGAGGGAGCTGCTGCTGTCTTGAAGAAAGGAAGCACTGAGGCCTGGGGCCGGGCTCAGCCCCTCCCTGGCAACATGAGACCTCCCGAGGGGACGGGGTCCAGAAGGGGCATAAAGGAGGGAGCTACTGCCCCTGTTCCCTCTGGAAGGGGCTGAGGTGGCTGGGGGCGGGTGACTTGGATGTCATCTCTGCTGAGGAGTGACCCCCTGGAGGGGTTTCCAGCCTGGACACCTCCCCGCTGCTCCCCTAGCCTCAGACCCCCTGGGCCTCGATGCCTCCTGCTGGACACTTTCCAGGCCCTCTGAGCCCCACCTGCCCCGGGCCTTCCCTGGAGGGCTCACCACTAAGCCCCTCTCCACCATAAATTCCACAGCCACCAGCCAGGGCACCCAGGCACTGGGGCCCACCCACCACTGCAGGGACCGTGATGGAACCCTCCAGAACGGAAGTCTTTGAGCATCTTTGTGAAGTGGACTCCAAGAGATGCTTCCTCCCACACAGCCTCGCCCTGGCCCCAGCTCCCACCTTGGCCCTATAATGCCCTTGGGAACGGAAGAGGCAGGCCTGCCCTGTGGTGCCCCTTAGCCAAGGGTCTGACGCCCCCCTCCAGGCTGCCTGCTGGCAGGGGTGTCGATGCGCCAGTCCCACAAGCAGGTGGGAGGCAGGTCTGTGGGCATCACAGGCCTCAGAGGTAGCCAGCCATGCAGGGTCCAGGAGCACGGACCAGGCCGGTGCCATGCAACCCGGGCCAACAGCCCTGGGGACCCTCTCAAAGCCCATGCAGGTGACGCAGCCCACACAGGCAGAGGAGTGGCCACTGCTGGGCAGTCATTCAGGGACAGCCACTTCATCAGACAGGCATGCTGCGGGAGGAGGGAGCTCAGGACAGACCGCAGCAGCCTGAGACCCCCTGGCCGGAGCTCCTTGAGGGGCTGCTGAGGGGCTGCTAGGGCCCCCCAGCTCAGGACTGCAGAGCGCAGTAAAAAAAAAACCTCCCAGGACACGTTGGAGTCCGCCAAGCTCAGCAACAGACAGAGACATCCAGACAGTGACCTTGGGGCCAGATACACGCCCCACAGAGAGGGGCCTCCATCCTTCCTGCCTACTTCTACCCCATATCCCATTCCTTTCACCTGACCCCCACCCTGCTCTTGCAGCCAGGGGTTCCCTCCTGGTTACCTTCCTGCCCCTGCCACCCCCAACTTACAGAAGAAAGGATCACATGGCCCCACCTATACCCAGACTGGGTACCCAAGCATAGCTCCTTCCATCTCAGGGGCCCCATTTCCCAGCCCAGTGCTTCCCTCCCCATCTGCAGGGCCCACTCTCCCTGTGAGAGCAGCCTGACCCTTGGGGGGCCTGAGTCCCCGCCAGGGGGAAACTTCTGGGGAGGCCTGGGGGCCTCTGCAGGTGGGGGTGGGGCCCGATCTGGGAGAGGGGCCAGATTTTGGAGAGGGGCCAGGGCTGGAGGAGGGGCCAGGGCTGAGAGGGAGGAGCCAGGGCTGGGGGAGGGGCCAGGGCTGAGAGGGAAGGGCCAGGGCTGGGGGAGGGGCCAGAGCAGGCAGAGAGGGGACAGGGCTGAGAGAGACGGGCCAGGGCTGGGGGAGGAGCCAGAGCTGAGAGGGAGGGGTCAGGACTGAGAGGGAGTGGCCATGACTGGGGGAGGAGCCAGAGCTGAGAGGGAGGGGCCAGGGCTGAAGGGTAGGGCTGTTAAAAGGCCAGGCCAGGGCCTCTCACTCACCCCATTGAGGCTTCCCAGGTCCTTCACCCAGTGCTCGTCCCTGTCCTGGTCGTAGTTGATGACGGCATGCTGCTTGTCCACACTGCGGGACTGGGGAGACACACAGTCGGCCCTCAGGTGCTCCAGGCAAGGAGGTGACACCCAAGAGGCAGAGGCACCCCTGTCCCATCCCCTGCCCCAACCCCTGCCCCCAGCACAACACCAGCAGTGGCCCCCAGGCCTCCGACCACAGAGGTGTGCCCACCCCGTCTCCAGAGCATGATTCACCAAGATGCCAGGGCCATGTCCCCACCCTCTGCTGCCACCCCAGGCCTCCCCCAATGACCGCCCTCCCCAGTGCTGCTCCCCGTTGGGCCGTGGGAGTGGTGGGAGCCCTCTGGTCATCTGGCACATACTGTTCCCTCCCAAGGTCAGGTGGCAGCAGCCAGGCTGGCACTGAGGGGGGTTGTCTCAGGGAGCCCTCCCCCACTCCTGGCCCAGCCCCACAGGGACACACACAACTCTCAGCCAGTGTCCACACCCTTGGTGCTCCCACCCCTCAGGCTGGTCACTCTCAGTCTGCCATGTTCAGGCCACCCTGGCAGCTGGCCATCACTGCCCCACCACTGGGCACTGTCCTGAAACACTGGTGTGGGGCCTCCCCCAGCAAGGGCTAGAAGCCCTCAGGGCAGGGCCTCCTTCCTCACTCAGAGAGGAGATCGCACAGCAGGGGCTAGCTGGGGGCACGGGCTCTGATGGCCCAGCTTGACTGTGGCCTCCGCAGAGGCGCCAGGGCAGGGAAGCTGCAGCAGGGTGGGGCTGGTGGTGGCCAGCAGCCCTGAGAGCCAGCCTCACGCTAGTGCCACTGCCACCCAGGAGTAAAAATGGGCACTCAGAAGCCCTGGGTGCCTGGCTCAAGCCACGGTGGTGGCGCTGCAGTGGAGGACCGGGTGCGGAGGGGTTGGGGGGACTGCAGTGGTGGACCGGGTGTGGATGGGTTGGGGGGGACTGCAGTGGAGGACTGGTGGAGGACTGCAGTGGAGGACCAGGGGAAGACTGCAGTGGAGGACCAGGGACGGTGACTGCAGTGGAGGACCGGGGGTGGGGTTGGGGGGGATGGCAGTGGAGGACCAGGGGGAGGACTTCAGTGGAGGACTAGGGACATACTGCAGTGGAGGAGGACTGAGCGGGGGACTGCAGTAGAGGGTGGCGAGTGGGGTACACGGGGCCCACACCTCCTGTCAGGACCCTGGGTCCCCCCAGGAAGTGGGCAGGGATGCCAGGGGGGTTTAAAGGGGAGAGTAGGGTCCTGGGTGCAGCCATCCCTGAGCTGCCTGCCTGGACATGGCCCATGCTTTCCCGGGAACCAGGTGAGCAGCTCCACCTGCCCCACATGCCCTCCCTGGGAAGGCGGATCTTGGTGGGGCTCCTGGTGCCAGCTCACCTGCCAGCCAAAGCCACAGGTCTCTGGTAGAGTGGGTCTGACCTTGACAGCCACCACCCACCTCCAGGTCCACCCTGTTCAAATTCCTCCTCCGAAGGTGGCACCCACAGCTGCATGGCTCCTGGCCACCCCAGCAGCAGTCTCTGCCAGAGGGGATGGGGGAGGATCCTGGCCGGGGGGGTGAGGCCAGACATCGCCTCCTCCATTGGGCTTCCCACCTGTCACCGAGGCCTCCAGACACAGGCGATCCCCAGCACTCGCCTCCTCCAAGATGCCCGTCCTGAGAGCCCCTCCCCAACTCCAGCATGGCTGGAGACACCTCAGGCCACTAACTGCCCCGTCGGCAGCCCTGAGGGCCAGGCCCAGGATTCCTGCCTGAGAGTGCAGCCTGGAAGCTAGAAGCCTGGATCTCCCTCAGGGGGTTCGGGCTCACCTCCTCCTGAACCCTGTCCTGTGCACAGGGCAGCAGCCCCACCTCAGCCCGCCCAACACATGGGCTCCACGGTGCCAGAGGGAGCTGCTGCTGTCTTGAAGAAAGGAAGCACTGAGGCCTGGGGCTGGGCTCAGCCCCTCCCTGGCAGCTTGAGACCTCCCGAGGGGACGGGGTCCAGAAGGGGCATAAAGGAGGGAGCTACTGCCCCTGTCCCCTCTGGAAGGGGCTGAGGTGGCTGGGGGTGGGTGACTTGGATGTCATCTCTGCTGAGGAGTGACCCCCTGGAGGGGTTTCCAGCCTGGACACCTCCCCGCTGCTCCCCTAGCCTCAGACCCCCTGGGCCTCGAGGCCTCCTGCTGGACACCTTCCAGGCCCTCTGAGCCCCACCTGCCCCGGGCCTTCCCTGGGGGGCTCACCACTAAGCCCCTCTCTACCACAGGCGCCAGCAACGCAGGTCTTCCTCTTGGCAGCCCTCAGTCAGCCTCCTTCTCCACAGTCCCCTTTTCCTGCAGGCCCCAAGGCCTCTCCAAACCTTCCTTACCCCACCCAGGCCACAGTCAGGCTTCAGGCAGATGACTCCGCCAGCTCTGGGCATATCACATCCTTGCCCAGGCCTCACCTTCAGTCCAGGTCCCCTCCCCTCCCTGCACCAACCTTCCCCACCCCACCCAGCCTCACACCAGCTTCTGGCTCCTTTGACGCAGCACAGGGTCCTGTTAACACCCACAGCCCAGCTGCCCTGCCCGCTCCCAGGGCTGAGCCTCCCCCCACAGCCAGGGCTTTCTCACCAGACCCGCTCCTGCCAAGCCCCTCCCCAGACTGCAGGAAGCGCTGGAGACACATGGGGAACCCCCTTCCAGAAACTCCCCTCTTCAGCCAGAAGCAGCCCCTCACTTGGCCAAGCCTGCAGCCACCCATGAGAAGTGACCCCCGGCCCAGGGCTCAAGACTTAAAACAACAGAAACCGGGGCCTGTGGAAGGAACTCGGTGCAGAAACAGCCAGGCAAACACAGATGTGGGACGTGGCTGGAAGACGCCCCAAACACATGGATTTTGGGGAAAGTGTCTAATAACGTGCACTCACTTTAAAATAAAGATGTTTCCAAAGCTCACGTCTGACGCCCTCTGTGGCAACAGCCTGGCCAAGCTGTGCTGAGTGGCAGTGGCAGCAGCCAGGGCTCTGGGCACACCCTCTTGCCAGCTCACCCGCGTTTCCCATTGGCAGCCACAGGCACCCACAGCAAACTGGCTGGATGTGCTGGGCACAGACGGCCAGGGCCTGCTTAGGCTGTGGTCTCTGGGTCAGCATGCAAGAGTGCAAATCCCGGCTGTCACACACGCTCACAGAGGACACCTCCCCACAGACATGCAGGACACACACGCACAGAACACACACACACAGATGTGTGTACCTACAGACACGCACATGTACACTTACACATGCACACACACACTGCACACCCTGTACCACAGCCTGGGCCACCACAGGAGCGATAGCCACAGCAGGAAGTCCTGTCTGGGTCCACGTTCCTGCATCATTTAACGTCTGTTCGCTGGGAACCAGCTCTGTGCTAGGCTTGCACTGGGCACAAGGACGCTGTGAGGAGCAAAGGCAGGGCCCTGGAAAGCGTAGTCCATGGGACAGCATGTGGGTGGCAGCTCTGCCCGGAACACGACTCCCCCACCAGTCTGCCCGCTGCGGTTCAAGCTACCGTCCCTCTTGCCTAGTGAAAGCCCAGGCCTCGGGGCCGCCACTCTGTTTGTCTCCCCTCCACGTCCCATCCCCCTAGCCCCAGTACAACATAGGCAGGTGTCTGCTGACCGCTCAGTTCCCAGCACCACCTTCTTTACACAGGACTGGACCCTGGACACCTTGCTGGCCCCCCTGCAGTGGACACCAAGGGGGGGCAGGGTCTCTGCTTGGCACCCTGCCCAGTGGAAAGATGTGGTGCTGAAAGCAAGGACTGTGGAGGGGGAGCTGGGACAGGGTGTGGAGGTTCCAGGGCAGGAAGGTGGGTGTGAGCCAGGTCCGGAGAGCCAGGGCAGGTGTGGGGAGAGGTTGGGTCTGGTGGAGGCCTGCATTCCTGTCTGTGCTTGAGGTGGTGGTGGCACTGGATGGAGGGAAGGGGACCCTGGCAGAGACCCAGGTGGAAGGGACGGAGGGTGACAGGTTTGGTTCAGCCACCGAGCTTGGGATGCCTCTGAGAGGCCCCAGTGCAGCAGGAGCCATATCCAGTAGGAGGCTGGAAGCTGAGGACAGGGCAGGCTCCAGGCAGTGGGTGGACGTCTGAGCAGAAGTGGACAGAGCCTCGCAGAAGCAGCAGCATTCAGAAAGGGCCGCTGAGGCCCCTGAGCATGAGCTGAGAGGGCGGGGGTCCTGACGCAGGTGCCAAGGAAGTTGCTGCAGGGAGGGGCGGCAGGTGCAAACATCCTGAGGTGGGGGGCAACAGAGGGGCCAAGGGGCCGGACATGGGGCTATAGGGCGGGGGTGAGAAGCCTCTAGCGCAGCTGCACAGGGAGTGAGGGGTAACAGGGCCGGCAGGGGGCAGAGGTGGGCAGGTTGGAGGCCGCTGCAGGGACACCGGGAGGCAGACAGCCTTCCCACACTCGCCACACCTGCAAGGCCTCCCTAAGCCTCAGTTTCCCCATGGAGATATCTTACAATGGCCACACCACCCATAACAGCAAGGGCCACCCACCTCATGCCCCACCCAGGCCAGGGGCGGCCACGGAGGAGAGCTGGGAAGCCCCCAACGCTCCCGACCTGCTCAGGGCTCCACTGAGAGGTGCAGAAACTTGGAATCGGACCCCAAACTCACCCTGAGCACCCTGCCCCAGCACCTTTCCTCCACCCCAGGGAGAAGCAGGCAGAACAGGCGTGGTGCAGGGGGTGGGCAGGAAGAGCACCCACACCAGTCCCCTGCCTGCAGGCTGGCTCTGGCTTCTTCCAGAGGCTCCAAAGTGCCGCCGCCTCTGAAAAGCCCTCCTGGCCACCCTAGGTAGAGCAGCGCAGCTATCACTGATGCCACCCCTGCAGGTGGACCATGGTAGCAACCCGCCAAATACAGCAGTGGCCCCTGTGAGGCAGTGGGGTATGTGGGGCATGGCCTACAGCCTGCCGCCTGTCTTTGGATGGCCTGAGAACTAAGAATTACCTTTACACTTTTAAATGACTGAAAATCGGCCGGGCGTGGTGGCGCTCTCGCCTGTAATCCCAGCACTTTGGGAGGCCGAGACAGGCGGATCACAAGGTCAGGAGATCAAGACCATCCTGGCTAACCCGGTGAAACCCCGTCTCTACTAAAAAATACAAAAAACTAGCTGGGCGAGGTGGCGGGCGCCTGTAGTCCCAGCTACTCGGGAGGCTGAGGCAGGAGAATGGCGTGAACCTGGGAGGCGGAGTTTGCCGTGAGCTGAGATCCGGCCACTCCAACCTGGGCAACAGAGCGAGACTCCATCTCAAAAAAATAAAAAAAGAAAGAAAATCATCAAAAGGCTATTTCATGACACATGAAAATTATGGGAAATTGATACTTCAACATCCGTAAATGAAGTGTAGGTGCTGCCACACCCACCTTGGCCACCCACGCTCGCTCCCTGGCTGCCCCTCACCACGGCCACAGGGCTGGGCTGCAGTGGATACTTGCAGTGGATACTTCGTGGCCCGCAAAACCTAAAATCTTTACCAGGCCCTTTGTAGAAAACATTTGCCGACTCCTGCCCCCAGCCACGGACTCTCTCCAGCTATCAGAGGCATGAAGAAAAGAGAAAAAGGGGAGAGAATGTTCCAGATTAAGAAACTTCAGAGCCGGAACAATCAACCATAAGGTGAGAGACCTGCTGGGTCCAGATTCAAGAGGATCAGAGGATGCCTGGGGAGAAGCTGGGATGTCTGGACTGAGTCCATTCCAGCTGCTGTAACAAAATTCCTGAGTAATGTGGAAATGACAGAAATGTATCGCTCACAGTTCTGGAGGCTGGAAGCCTGAGATGTAGGTGCCGGACGATTTGGTGTCTGCAGAGGGCCCTGTCTCTGCTTCAAGGATGGTATCTTGAATGCTGCATCCTCACTGAGCAGAAGGGGTGAGCCAGCTTCCTCTGGCCTCTTTTTAAGGTCCCTGATCCCATTCCCAAGGGCAAAGCCTCATGCCCTGGACACCTCCCCAAGGCCCCATCTCTTGAAGCTACCACGCCGGAAATGAAGCTTCAACCTCTGAACTGCAGGGGACACAAACATTCCCACCACAGCAGGACACATGGAGCAATATCGGGTGGGACTGCCTTGGGTAGAGGCAAACACTGTCTGCCCCAGCGAATGTGCACATGGCCAGGACCCCTCACCACAGCCTGGGGACTGCCCACCTCGTCAGAGCCTGGCACAGCCCGGGCCTGTGCGGCAGCAGCACATTGCATCCAGGAGGTAATGCCCGAGTGGGCAGGGCAGCTCCCTGCACCTGCAGGCCCCTCGGCTAGACTGGACAGTGCCATCCACCTGGCTCACGGGCCCACGTGCCACGCTGGGGGGTGAGCCAGGATAGGGAGTCCAACTTGTTCACAGAGGAAGGACATCAGGCCAGGATGGGCCTGTGGGTTAGCTCACCACCCCTGCTCTTTGTTCTCAAACAGCCAGATCATAAGCCCCATGAAGCCAAACTCAGACCTCAAACCAGGGTCAGAGAAACTTCTGATAGTGCTGGTGCTCGGCAGGCTCTCATGCCCTGAGAAGAGCTCCCTCATGCCTGGGGACCACCAAAAGGCACGAGCCTTCACCAGGGTGCAGCTGGGACCAAGATGTTGGGACCCCCGCTTAGGCAGCGCTCATAGCGTAGGTGGGGTCCCCAGACAACAAGAGTATGGACAGACCGGCTTTCCAGGACGTTCCAAAGCCAGGCCTCAGCTCCCTCTCTGCACAAGGACGCCAACTCACGCTTCCAGGGACCCCAACAACTTTGAGAAGCTGACAAAAGCCTAAGCCCCCTCCTGCCAGAGATAGGGATACATACGGGGAAGGGACTCGAGCCTGTGAGCACACACATACCCCTGCACGCGCCCACGGGAGCCCCAGAGCCCTCGGTGCATCTGGGACCCAAGTTAAGAGGCCAGGCCTGGGCTGCATGGCAGCCTCCTCACCGGGTGGCCTGCAGCAAGTGGGGTGGGCACCTTCCTGGCCCCCAGAGGGACTGGACTGCCCACCCCCTACCCCCCTGGCCCCAAGCGCCCCCTGCGAACCTGTAGCATGAGCTCACATTCCTCACGCCCCACGAAGATGAGCTCGCGAGGGAGCCGGTGGCGGGCGCCGCTGCTGCTCACCAGGAACCAGGACGTGGCACTCATCTTGGTGCTGGCTGGGCCCGTCTGGCCCTGGGGAAAAAGGGATTGTTAGAGTGGGGCTCCCTGGCCTGGGCCTTAGCCCCCTGGACACATCCAAGGCCCAGCCCAGATCCTGTCCCTCTAAGGGAAGCTGGCAGCTTCCGGAGAAGCTGGACTCCAGCCTCACCAGGCCACCCGCCCTCCCTGGGAATGGTCCCAAGTCCCACTGCCAGGCCTTTGCCCTCCTGACTGGCCTTCCCCATCACGTCCATCCCCAGCAAAGGCTGCCTGGCCCTCCCTTATCCTCCAGGCCCCTGCACACCTAATCTCTTCTATCTTCCAGGTGTCAGGGGTTGAAGTTCATGGGGACACTGGCGGCACTGCCTGTAAGTGACCCCACATCCATGTGACCCACCAGGAGCAGCTCGTGGGTAGGACCCAGCATGGACACCAGGGTCCCCACGATGCCAGGTCCACAGCACCAGACCCACCCCAGGACACACACTGAACCAGAGGACCCACTCCCCTCAGCAGGACATTCTGAGACTGAGCCCCAAGCAGGGCCTGGGGTGAGAGGCAGCAGGGACAGAGCTGGAGACAGGGGCCCTGAGTCATCAATATGTCTACCACCGAGAGGAGGCCAAATGTCCCTTGGTGGCCATGGTGCAAGGACAGCATCAAGCAGCCCCTTCAGTGCCCAAGAGGGAAGAGAGGCTTTGGTGCCCATAGTCCCAGCAACATCAACAAAAAGGAGGTGGTCTGAGGGGCCGGTGTGGTCAGGGGCTGGTGTAGGCAGGCAGGGAGCTCTGTGGCAGCCTAGTGGGTAACAGGGGACAGCCTGAGTAATGGCCAGGGCTGATGACCCTGGGCAGCCCTATACCCAGCCAACGTGCACCCTGCACACCCGAAGCATTCGAGCACACATGCCCTGGGCACTCCACCCCACTGCCCAGCACATCTTGAGTGCTGCTATGGGCTAGGCAGCCTGGGCTGAGCCAGCTGTGACCAAGACCCAGAGTCTCAGAGTCCCCGGGCTCCCTTCAGCAGGGGCCAGGCACAAAGAACAGAAATGGCTTATGAGAAAGTACAAAGAGGGATACAGGGAACACAAAGGCAGGACACAGAGGGGGGCTCACTGGGAGGCAGCCTCCGGGGCTCCGCAGGACAGGGGTGGAAGCAAGTGATGAACACTTGCGGGACTGCATTCCAGGTAGAGGGAACAGCCGGTGCCACCAGGGCAGAGGGACAGGGCAGAGGGATGGAGGGCCTCACACGCCCCTGGGAGTCCTGTGGCTAGTCCTGCAAGCGGATGAAGTCCCTAAAGGGCCCAGCACTGACTCCATCACTGCAGGGTCCAGCACAAAAAGAAAATGTGGTGCCCTTGTTCAAAACCTGAGAAGGAGAGCTGAGCAAGATGCCAAGGGTGGGGTCCAAGCAAGGGCTCCATGGGGGTCTCCAGGTCACACACCTGAGAGGCTGGCCCCAGAGCTCCTGAGTGGGCATGGGACTCTGACTCAGGAGGCCAGTCAAGAAGTGAGGACAATAACCCAGGACAGGGATGACAGCAGCTGGGGCCCAGTGGAGCAGAGGAGAAGCAGAGGCTGCCGGGCTGAGTGCGTCCTGAGGGCAGGGCCACACCACGTGAGGGTGCCAGGCAGAGGAGTGAGTGGCTCCCTGTCCCTACTTTGCTCAGTGCCCACACTCAAGGTCTTCAGCTTTGAGGCTCTTCACCAGATCTCAGCTCCCTTCAGTGAGCAGCAGGGAGCACCAACACCGGGCTCCAGCTAGTGTGAATGCCCAAGTGACCACGTGCCCCATAGTAAACCCTCACCTTGGGCAGGGAGGTGGGAAGATGTAGAAAAATCCTCACCAGGAGAAGGCAGCTCCAGGCAGCCAGGACCCTCTCACCCTGGGGGCCCTGCCCTTCCTAAGCCAGGCACCCAGGCTGGGGCCAGACAGGCAGGCACTGGAGGCCAAGGGGGTGGGACTTCCATGCCCCTGCAGCCCCAGACAGCGAAGCCCCCAGGAGGCCTCTACAGCCCCACCCTCCCCAGGGCTGCTGGGGGATCACAGGGTGCTCTATTTGGCAGGGCCCACCCCACCACTGCAGCTCCGGCCCCCAGCCAGCCCTCCTAGGCCTCACACTCTGCCATCACCTGCCGCGGCCCGCCCTGAGGAGTCCACAGTCCCTGTTTAAGGCAAAGTGAAGCCGAGCCCCAGAGCCTGGTGATGCCGCTGTACCAGAGCCAGGCCACCCACTGCCCCGGCCGCCCACCCTGAAAAGGCCTGGGAGCCCGCGACGCTCCAAAACGGCCTTCGGCTGCCTCGGGGCTGGGCTGGCCATCGTTGCTAGGAGGAAGAATAATAAACGCCCCAAACTTGCCCCCTCAGCCGCCCCGGCCAGAAGGGCCACAGTCAGAGGTAAGGCGGGGAAAGGTGGCTGGGCCCAGGGGCAGGGAAGGGCAGCGAGCCGGGCGGGGCAGTCCGGCGGTGGAAGGAGCGCACAGGCCGGGAGAGGCAGGGACAGCGGGGAGACGGCGGCGAAGGGAAATGAGGAGAGAGGGGAGGAGGAGGAAGACGGAGGGAGGGACCGCGGGAGGAGAGACCAGGCCAGGAGGGAGGCGGCCGGGCCCGGCGGGGGAGGGAGCGGCGCCTTCTGAATCAGCGCTCTCCGGGGGCGGCCATGGCCGAGCCGGTGCCGGGGCGGGGACCCGGGCGCCCAGGCTTGCCGGCTCCTCCGCAGGCCGCGTAGACACGTACCCGGCCGGGTCGCGTAGACGCGCGTGGGGCGGCTCCTCCCGGCCTGGCGCAGACCAGGGCCGCCTCCGCGGCGGCGGGGACCCGTCTGACCAGGTGCGCCGGGCGGCCCCCCACCCCCGCGCCTTTGTCCGGCCTCGGCCGGGATCCCGCGCCCCGTGAGGCCCCACAGGCGTGCAGGTGCGGGTGATGGGAGGCCCGGGTCGCGGCCAGCGCTGGGCCAGCGCGTCCTACCTGAGGTTCGGGCTCGGTCTCCGGCTCGCCTCAGTCCCCGGCTTAGTCCCCGGCTTGGTCCCCGGCTCGGTCCCCGGCTCGGCCCGGCTCGGTCCCGGCCCGCCCGGCCGAGCGCTGGGCGGGGCCGCCGCCTAGGACATGCCCGGCGAGGCCCGCACGCTCGCGGCAGCCCTGGCCGAGCCCACGGCAGAGCGGCCGCCAGCGGCCTCGCGCGCGGGTCCCTGACGTCTGCGGGACGCCCAGCCCCGCCCCCGGAACGCCCCGCCCCGGGCACGCCCCCGCCCGCCCCGCCCCCGCCGCTCCGCGCCGCGCCCCGCCCCGCCCCGACTGAAACCAGGTTAGGGCGGGTCCGCAGTCGCCAGGTGAGCGCGTCCCGGCAGCCCCGCGCGTGGCCCGGTCGGCAGAGGCTCGGCAGGCCCCCACCCCGCCCCTGCCCCAGGCCCACCTTCCCCCACCGCCCAGGCCCCGCTGGCCTCCCCGGCTCGTCTCGCACCCGGCGCAGACCCCATTCCCTCCGGTCTCGGCCCCGCCCCCCGCTTCGCCTGCAGGTCAGGCCCCAGCTCGACTGGCGGAACCGGGTGCCCACAGCAGCCCGTGCGCCCTGGCCCAGGGCCAGTGGGTTAACGCTTAACTACGCTCCGGGAGCTGTAGGCTCCAGCCGCGCCCCGAGTCCCCAACCTTTGGCCCCGGTAGCCCCAAAGAGGAGCGGACGGTGAAGGAGTCAGGGTGAGTCCCAGAGGCCGCACCCGGATTTTCCCTCCCGAGCCTGGCCAGACTGGGCGTGTGTCCGACAGCTCCACCTCCGACCCCGGGCGCTCTGGGCTGAGCTGGGTGCGAGGGTGGTGGACATCAACGCCGTCTTACCTGGACACCCACAGTGGGCCTGACCGAGGGGTGGGGCTGGGGCTGGGAACTCCGGAGGCGCCCGGGGTTCCTGGGGTAAGTTCCGGCGGACTGCTTGCTCCTTGTCGGGCGCCACAATAGGCGTATCCGGTGTCCCAGGAGCCAAGTGGGGGGAAGGGATCAACGTGGGGGCGGGGCAGTGTGCCCGCAGGGCATTCCTGCCTTCCAGGTGTTGGGGAACGCTGTGAGCGAAGGCGTGGAGATGAGGGGGAATGTGGAAGGCGTGCGCCCGGCCGGGGAACCCCGGGCTTTGTCCTGTGGGCAGCTGGAGCAGCTGGGCATTCCCGGCTGCGACAGCCCCCACCCGGCCCCGCACCTGGGCCTGCTCGCAATCCAGCGGCGCCTCTCTGCATCTGCCTTCACGGATCTCAGCCCCAGCAGAGCCCTTGTGCCGGACCCTGGGGCGGGATTGTGAGTTCAGAGGGGGTTAGACGCGCCCTTGAGTATGGCAGGAGCCCCAGCCCAAGCACCTGGTGGAAACTCACTTGCCTGGGGAGAGGGCAGGGCAATGAGCACTCCGAGTTGGCTCCCAGGAAAGACCTTCCGGCGGGAGCTTGGATTGCTAGGTTGAGGAAGAGGCCGGGGAGGGACCTACAGCCAGGTGATCGGGTGCCTGGATTTCTTCCCAAGGATAATGTGAGTTGATGCTGGCTGAGATCTGCTCCGATGAGGGTTTGAAAGAGAGAGCTCCCGGTGTCAAAGTAAGCGGATGGCAAAACATGCCTGGAGGGAGCAACCAGGCATCTGACCAGAGGTCCTGGGCTGGGGAAGGTGGAAGCAGAGGAAGGAGAGAGAAGGAAATTTGGGAGGAAGAGTGGGCATGACCCCAGCCCTGCCCATCTTTTCCTGCCCTACCCAGGGCTTCTCCACCCTCTTGGCTTGGCCTGCTCACACGTTGGTAAATGACCCTTCACAAAAGTCATTTTCTCTATTTGTGCTTTTCTTCTGCCAGGACCCTTGACTTTCTCGATGGGAAGAGGGGGAAGGCAAGGCTGGTGCCCAGTGCTCTGCCTGGACTGGCCAGTGCATGTGGCTGTCACTAGGCTGGGAAGCTAGGCCAGGAGAGCAGCTGCAGCTGTGGAGGTTGGCAGTTGAGAGGTTGAGAGACCTGAGCACACTCGGGCCAGTCCTCCCATGGCATTTGGGAGCCCAGGACAGAGCTAGGGGGCAAGTATGGGCAATGCTTGGAGCCAGGGAGTGGGGGTAGGGAATTGGAGGGGTAGAGAGGACAACTCAAACTAAGCCAGGAACCCACAGAGGAGACAAGGAAAGGAAAACCAAGAAGGAGTGAGGCCCCAATGCCTCCAAATTGATCCATACATTGCATGATCCCCAGTAAAAGTAGCTACATGATGATTCCAAAGCCCTTAGGAAACTAAAGGTGCCAGGAGAATGAATAGACAGGTCTCCATAGAAGACACACACTGGCCAACAAGCACATGGGAAGATGTCCAGCATCCTCCAGGAAATGCAAAGCAAAACCACAGTGAGATCCCACCTCCTACCTGCTGGGACTGGGCGGATGCAGTCCTGGCAAACCAACACGAGTCTTGGTGAGAATGGGGGGTGTCAGAGCCCTGCTGCACTGAGATACACGTACACACACACACAACACACAAAATGGAATAGTATTCCGTCTTAAAAAGGAAAGAAATTCCAGTACTGGCTGCAACATGGATGGACTTTGAGGATGTTATGCTGAGTGAAATAAGCCAGTCACAGAAGAACACGTACCGTACAATCTCACTTATGTGAGGTCCCTAGAGTAGTCACTTTCATAGAGATAGCAGCTGACAGGAGGAGCATGGGGAGTGACTGTTTAGTGAATACAGACTTGAAATTTGGGAAGAGGTATAAGTTCTGTAGATGGATGGTGGTGATGGGTGGTGGTGATGGACATTGGAGATGGGCAGTGGACATGGATGGTGATGATGGATGGTGTAGATGGACAGTGGTGATAGATTTTGGATGTGGACAGTGGACATGGACAGTGGAGATAGAGGGTGGTGATGGATGGTGGACATGGACAGTGGAGATAGACAGTGGAGATAGAGGGTGGTGATGGATGGTGGACTTGGACAGTGGACATGGACAGTGGAGATAAACAGTGGAGACAGAGGGTGGTGATGGACGGTGGACATGGACAATGGAGATAGAGAGTGGAGATAGAGGGTGATGATGGATGGTAGACATGGACAGTGGAGATGGACAGTAGAGATAGAGGGTGGTGATGGATGGTGGACATGGACAGTGGAGATAGAGGGTGGTGATGGACAGTGGAGCTAGAGGGTGGTGATGGATGGTGGAGACGGAGGGTAGAGATGGAGGGTGATGATGGAGGGTAGAGATGGAGGGTGGTGATGGATGGTGGAGATGGACGGCAGAGATGGATGGTGGTGATGGATGGTGGAGATGGACGGCAGAGATGGATGGTGGTGATGGATGGTGGAGATGGAGGGTGAAAATAGTGGGTGGTGATGGAGATGGAGGGTGGATGGAGGGTGGAGGGTGGAGATGGTGGGTGGTGATGGAGGGTGGAAATAAATGGTGGTGATGGAGGGTGGAGATAAATGGTGATGATGGAGGGTGGTGATGGTGGGTGGTGATGGAGGGTGGTGATGGTGGGTGGTGATGGACAGTGGAGACGGACGGCGGAGATGAATGGTGGTGATGGACGGTGGAGATGGAGGGTGGAAATGGGTGGAGATGAAGGGTGGAAATGGTGGGTGGTGATGAAGGATGGGGATGAAGGGTGGAGATGGAGGGTGGAAATGGGTGGAGATGAAGGGTGGAAATGGTGGGTGGTGATGAAGGATAAGGATGGGGATGAAGGGTGGTGATGGATGGTGGAGATGGACGGCAGAGATGAATGGTGGTGATGGACAGTGGAGATGGAGGGTGGAAATGGTGGGTGGTGATGGAGGGTGGAGATAAATGGTAGTAATGGACAGTGGAGATGTACGGTGGAAATGGAGAGTGGTGATGGATGGTGGAGATGGAGAGCAGAGATTAATGGTAGTGATGGATAGTGGAGATGGAGGGTGGAAATGGTGGATGGTGAGGGAGGATGGAGATGAAGGGTGGAAGGAGGGTGGAAATGGAGAGTGGTGATAGAGGGTGGTGATGGATGGTGGAGATTGACAGTGAAGATGAATGGTTGTGATGGACGGTGGAGATGGAGGGTGGAGATGGAGGGTGGAAACGGTGGGTGGTGATGGAGGGTGGAGATGGACAGTGGAAATGGAAGGTGGTGATGGTTGTATAATAATGTGAATGCACTTGATGTTACTCAACTGTTCACTTAAAAATGGCTAACATAGTAGTTTTTATGTTACATATATTTTACTACAATAAAAAAAAACGAAAAACCTATAAAATTCTGAAAAATAAAAAAGGGGGCTTTAGCTCTGCCAGAGAGTAGAATCCATCATAGAACATCTTGCTATGGGCAGTTGACTTGACACATACATCAGAGAAGGTCGGTGTGATTGTTTAGCATATGATTAATGGGGCATTTAAAATCCACAAAAGGCCAGACGCAGTGGCTCATGCCTATAATCCCAGCACTTTGGGAGGCCGAAGCAGGTGGATCACCTGAGATCAGCAGTTCAAGACCAGCCTAACCAACATGGTGAAACCTTGTCTCTACTAAAAATACAAAAAATAGCCAGGCATGGTGGTGGGTGGCTGTAATCCCAGCTACTGGGGAGGCCAAGGTGGGAGAATCACTTGAACCTGGAAGGTGGAGGTTGCAGTGAGCCGAGATCGTGCCACTGTACTCCAGCCTGAGCAACAAAGTGAGTCTCTGTCTCAATCAATTATCAATCCATGAGGAAAAGGACATCATTTTAAAAAGGGTGGTGTGGCCAGGCACGGTGGCTCACATCTATAACCAGCACTTTGGAGGCCGAGGCAGGTGGATCACCTGAGGTCAGGAGTTCGAGACTGGCCTGGCCAGCATGGTGAAACTCTGTCTCTACTAAAAAAAAAAAAAAAAAAAAAAAAAAAAAAAAAAAGAAGTCCAAAATTAGCCGGGCGTGGTGGCAGGTGCCTGTAATCCCAGCTACTTGGGAGGCTGAGGCAGGAGAATTGCTTGAACCAGGGAGGCAGAGATTGCAGTGAGCTGAGATCGTGCCATTGTACTCCAGCCTGGGCAATGAGCGAAACTCCATCTCAGAATAATAATAATAATAATAATAATAAAGGGTGGTGGAACAACTGGGCAGCATTGGTGCCTGGAAAAACATGATATTGGATCCTGATCCCACTCTTCACACAGAAATAAATTCCTTATGGAGCAGAAATATAAATGCAAAAACCCAAAACC